GCACAGGTGCTGGACTGGTCCCCTGTCACTGTTACTGCAAGGTGCCATCAGTAAAAGGAAATTTTTTTATTTGCACAGTAATGGGCAATTTTCTATAGAAGAGCACTCGGACCCCACACAAGACAGCTCATCTGACTTCGGTGACTTAGTGTCCACCAAGGACGGGCCTAAGTTTAAACGCATTCCTTCCCACAGTATCACACCGGAGTCAACTACTTGAATCAAAGTGCCGTTTGTAGCCAGTGCAGTATTGCTTCGTCATTTTATGCCTGACCTCTGCACTAAGGTACATCCAACGCACAGCTCGCAGCGTATTCCTAATCTCATCAGCACTGAGCATCACCTGTAGTTTCCACAGCAATCTCACCTCTGGTCCTGCACACATTACAGCCGGCTGCTTTGTGCAATTGCAAAAATAAAACCCAAACCCAACGCAGCCCAGGTGCAGACTCTTTAGAGCAGACAGTCTGAGCAAGGGGACAGATCTAAGAGAGCAGAAGCAGCCAGATGCAAGACCTGATCTCGGTTCCATTAGCCTAAATCCCAAAGAAGCCTAACTGTTTAAACAGACTTTCAGTAGGATTTGCCCCAGTATAACTAAGGCATAAGTCTGGACCTGTATTTATCAGATTTTCCACTTGTGTGTAATTAAAAATCTGCATCACTGCCTCATTAACACACGTTTTTAAATTAAGCTTTCCTCAGCTTTTAAAAAGACCGACGTACAGACTTTCAGAAAACAGTGAGATATTGAAAGAGATCATTTACATCCACTAAGATTACTCAAATGATTACCCTGGTTACAGGAACTCCATGAGAATACTTGATGAAAGTTTATCCTGATGAAGGCTGCTTGGATTAAAGCCATTCTTCTTTCCTGATTCACAGCATTCTCCGCAACCGCCGCCTGCAGGCACTGCAAACCCACAGCGCAGCACAGGCGAGCCCAGCTCTATAAACCTTGACTGTACTCCCTACGCCTTTCCTCCTTTGCCACTGAGGGCATCATCGCTACATCATCAAATTACAAAACATATGTTTATTAGCACCAATAAGTAATTAAAGACCAGACGGACCAAAATGTCACAGTTCACTCAGGTTCACAAAATCACTGGAGCGGCTCTGGTGACCAAGAGTGTTTCGGGGACAGAATAGCGCTGCCTGCAGCAGGCTCACAGCCCCTCCGCCTAATTGCATACAGCAAAGCCACTGCTGGTCACATGCAAGAGGGAAAGCAGTGCCTCACCACGGGGTCCCACAGGGCTTCAGAGACAGTACCCCCCCTTTTAAGCCACACCTAGAAGCGGCCTAGCAGGCATGTTGGTGGTGGGACACCATGCTGCTGCCGGTGGTGGTGGGACACCATGCTGCTGCCTGGGGCACCTGGGAAAGACCTTCTCCCAACAGCCTCAAGTGGGCCAAAAGGTGGTGATGCAGGCCAAGAAGGGGACAGCCAGAGGCACCAGCCAAAGCAGAAGGCTCAGATCACCACCTCCGCCCCCAGAGTCCAGCTTAACCCCGAGCAGCTCCGCCTCAGCAGCCTGAGCAGGCAGAGAGGGCAATGGAGCAGAGGGAGCCCCTGCAGAGACACGCTATGGAAGGGTGATGTCCTGCATCAAAGCCTCTTCCCACTGACTCTTCTCCTCTTCCCCATGAGCAAGGCTTCCAGCTTTATCCACCCTGCAACAACGACCACCGTGGGAGGGGGGGCCCCCACTCCCACAAAACATGTGCACCTCCCCACGCAGCTCCAGCCCTTGCCCCTCTGTGGCTGGGGCAGTTTCGAGTCGAGTTTGTCAGCACACACGCAGGCAGTGGGTAGCCCACACCACAAAAAAGGCCCATTCCGAGCCCAAGATCCGCATAAACCACAGCACCAAGCACAAGCCGTTCCCAACTGTCAGGCACTGCCCTGTTCCACACGCCTATGAAGATCTTTTGGGGGCTCGATCCAACGAGCACAGTAACATCATCCGACCTCCCCAAACCTGGATTTCAGCGAGTACAAAAGGCTCTCCTTCACAGACAGGGACAGCAGGAACCATCGCCAACAGGATTAGGCTACAAAAACGTTTTTAGGAACAAACAGAAGGTGCTCGGGATCTCACTTCTAGTGAAATACTTAGGAAGCAGGCAGCAAGATGAGCGAGAAGGAGCACAGTAAATTTATCTTTAGACCAAAGTGAATCAAAAGTGGGGACACAAACCGACAGGCTGCATACTAAGTACCTGGCTCAGTGGGGACCGACTCTGCCTCTACCAGACAGCAAAAAACCACACCCTACCTCAGAAGGTGGAGGTGGCAAGCGCAGCAGACCTTCGAGCAATAACCTCATCTGCTGACTGACTTACTGGCCCTACACTGACACAACACCACCATATCCTTTCATCAAAGCCACCTATATTTGCACAGGTAGCCCCCTGTTTTTAACACAGGAAGATGTTTAATCTAGAAGTTCTGCAAAAAAAGGATCACATCCTTCTCGCAGAGGTTTGAAAGCTGGCAGCCCTCTGCTGCACGGCTCCAGTGCAATTCCTTGCCCTGAGGCAAGCTTAGAAATTACCAGCCATTCGGCTTTTGTTTACAGGACAAACATATATATGATCGCTGTTGTAGGTGCTAGCCTTTTTTCTTCTTTTGTTTCAAATACACATTTGTTCAAGACTCCCAAGTGCCCTCAGCTGCAGCCAGGGAGCCGTTTATGTGGGCACAATGTATTTCATCTCCTGACAAGAGACCCAGAGGAAACAGGCAGGTGTGCCACCGTCCTGCAGCATCACCCCAAAACAGCCAGGCGTGTCACCTCACCCCATGGTGGCAGCACTCCCTGCTCCAAACAGGGGCTTGTTCTGCAGCAAACCCCCCCACCTGGATCAGCTCCTCCCTTCCTACCACGGTGGAGGCTGTCAGTTAATAACCAGCAGTCTCTCTACTATCCCATGCTTCAAAATATTTCAGGGATACAC